TGTGGGAGGGTGGGCTAGGGTACTATCATTACGTTCAAAAAGATTTAACTCTTGTATAGCTATAAATGCGCAACGGTAAAAAATCAATCAAACTTCGTACATGTTTATAAGATTTAAAATGACAGAAGAACAATCGTTTGTTAAAAATGTAAAGTTTAGATTGCATCTTAGACGTCATGCATCTTGATCATGAATTTCAGGTAAACCTAAAGGTGTATCATATTCGAGTATGTCTTCATTGAATGCGCAAGCGATTTTCTCTCAAACTTCAAAACAAAGATCAATTTATCTCATAACCTATAGCCAATGTGGTGATTCGGGTTTAGATAGACAAGAATTTGCCAAATTAATAGTGAATGCGTGGAATGAATGCTGCCGCTCAAATATAATGCAGTGGGTAGTAAGTGAAGAAATGCACGAGGACGGTGGCAAGCATTTTCATATGGCAGTCAAACTCGACAAAAAAACAAGATGGCTCGCGGTCAGGAATTTCATTGATAGCCAACATGGTATCAAAGTGAACTTTTCAGATAAACACGAAAATAACTTTACTGCGTATACGTACGTAGTCAAAGAGGACGCAGATTATGTCTTATCTGAGAATCACCCAGACCTCGCTAATGCCACGGCACCTCAAACGACAAATGCAACTCAAAAACGTAAGACGAAATCTAAGAAACAAGTTGCTAGTAAAAAGAAAAGGAAACGCTTGGCAGTTTACGACGTGGTTCGGATAATCCAGCCGAAAGGCATAAAGTCTCGGGTAGAGCTTATAGCTCTAGCAAGCAAGTGGCAAGAACAGGGGAAAACAGATCTGGCAGAATTTGTTTGCAATCGAGGACCAAGAGTTGTGAACGAAGCCCTAGATGCATCTACACTTCAACATATCAATGGTGGTATTCCACAAGGTACTAAGCTTGGCCCGATCCTCTTTGCCGTAATGGTGAATGAACTTTTGTCTGCGTGGGACCCCCGTGCTAAGTTCGTTGATGATCTTACCGCTTTGGAAATTGTACCTAGAAATTCCCCTTCCTTGATGAATCATATCGTGGCAGATATACACTCGTTGGCTGAAGTGAACAATATGAAGCTGAATCCTGCCAAGTGTAAAGATATGATTGTTAACTTTCTTCATTTCAATACTAGTGTTTTTCAACCCATCACTGTCATTGGTGCAACACGCGTGGAATCTGTTTCATCATTTAAACTGCTCGGAGTATATGTTACCAGTGAGTTAACATGGTCTGTGCATTGTGAATACATTATTAAGAAATCCAATAGGCGTTTATATGCGTTGAGGAAGCTTAAGAGGAGTGAGGTAGCCCCAACAGACATCCTATGTGTTTATTGTGCAATTATAAGATCAGTATTGGAATATTCTTTTGTCGTTTTCGCTAACCTTCCTCAAAATCTTAGCGACGATCTTGAAAGGGTCCAGAAACGAGCACTGGCCATAATATACCCTAACTGTTCCTATGATGATTCCCTAAAACTAGCTGGTATCGAACCGCTTGTCTTACGGAGGGACGCCACCTGTAAGAGATTTGTGGAGACAATCCTACCTGGAAACCCACTCTATCCAATTGTTCATAGCCGGTCAGCACCAGTGAACCATGGTTATAAACTTAGATCTGACAATGTTGCGAGGAATATCAGGATGCGAACAGACCGGTTTCAGAAATTCGTTACCGTTAAGTATGCGACCTGAACTGTGATCGTTGAACCTAATAACTCCATTGTCTAGTTATACATTCATTTTTAACTATAATAAATTATGTACACCTCTCAGATAATTTTGTATAAGTTTGATATACTGTAAATAATATTTGTAAATAAGATTTTTGTAATGACCTGTAATTCAGTTTCTACTGCAAGGTTTTTTTTAATAAACTATTACTATTACTGTAAAAGCGATTGGAAAGAATTAGTAAAACTATGCTAGAGTTACTTCAAGAGCAATTAACACAGCCATGCCAAGACAACTGCGACGGATTATGGCTACGTGCGGCAGTTCAGATATTGGATGGGAATGGCATACCTGTGTCAACATTCGCAAGTGCAGTATACGATGCCCTGCTGCGAGGCCGAGGCAAATATATAAATATCTATGTTCACGGCCCTGCTAACTGCGGCAAAACCTTTCTTATTTCGCCGTTGAAATCCATCTACGAGTGTTTTGTTAATCCGACCAGCCTCGGGGAGTTTTGCGTGGGTTGGCATAGAGGCAGCAGAGGTTGTCTTACTTAATGACCTAAGATGGAAACCCTGCCTTATACCATGGTGTGAGTTTTAGCAGGTCTTAGAGGATGACACCGTGCATTTTCCTGCCCCAAAAAAATTTGTGAGGAAGGATATTGTGCTAGAAAAAGACACCCCATTTTTTGCGACTAGTGACGCCCCTCTTGCCTTAGTTATGGGAGGGAGTGTGGATAGGGTCAACACTGAAATGATGGATGTTCGTTGACGTATGTTCAAATTACATCGCCAAATACCAAGAGATGAACAAAAACATATAAAACCTTGTGGTTCTTGCTTTGCCAAGCTTATCTTAGATAATGTAGAGCAGTATATATAAACAACAATTTACTAAACAGGATGAGATAATTGGCTTGATGACATACTTGTCTGTCAACAAATCACTTATAGATCAATGCTCACTGACGGATCTCAGCATAAAATACAATGTTTTATTAGTTTTTTAATCATGAACATTATGTATTTGCTAATTTTTATCACACAATATGTATAATAAGAATGTTATAGTCAACAAGATTTAATATCATTAAAAAATATACCAAACATAGTCTGTTTTAAACGAAGCTCACTCGATAACTGTAAATGAATTTGATATCTTACCGCTTATATTTTATGGCGCAAGTAAGAATCGTTGAAGAAAATCATCTCTCAATTGCTTATATCGTTCTCAACTGTTTTAAAATTTGGCAGAGTTATACTGTAGGTATGGGCTCATTCATCCATCGCTACTTTTCTAAATAAAACTTCAAAATAAGTCAATTACAGCGCATATAAGACGCAAAGGTAAGGGTGAGATTCGTTTCCTATTGCGCTCACTGAGCTCACTTGTCACGTGTCGATCTAACTAAATATACTAATATTTGGTTCTATAGCCCTTTCCAGTGATTACTGCGTCGATGCGTCTAGGCATACTTAATAGTAAATTATTTATATAATCTATGGAAGTGTCCAAGAGTGTTTTACAAACTCTACCTTTGAACTCCGTCCATGTTTTATGATTGATTCCCCGTGCTCGAACCTGCATCTCTAAATTGCTTTTAACAATGTGAACTGAACATCTTCAATCGGATTTAGGTCGGGGGATCGAGCAGGTATACAGAACCACTGAGCACCTTGATCATTGATAGCTTTCATAGCCATTGCACTTGTTTGGGAAGGGTCGTTATCCATAACAAATATCTTTCTGCGTTCTCGTCCATGAAATAGGACCGGAAAATTTCTCCTAACAAAATCACTGAAATATACGGCATTCATCTTCGTGTATTCCTCGACGCAAAATACTCCCATGTTAATTGTACCCAATTGCGATCAGTAAATGCAAACGCTTTCCCCCTGCTAGGTTTCTGGCTGTTATCTTTAATCCTTCCGCCTTTTTCCTCATGCATACTTTGCCTTTTGGTGCTGAGATTTGCGCCATTGGCCTTGGCTTGTGCACGAATGAAACACCCGGTGGCGTGCTGGGTATTATTTATCTGGGGGGGCCAGTGAGCTATCAACCAATATGCGTTCCTATAATGTGACGCTTGATAAACGAGGGCCGAAAACACGAGCCGAGTACCACAGGTGCGAGGTGGTCGTAGGGGGGTCCGGGGGAAAATTTTTTAATTTAGAGTCTCTGAAATGCCATTTCCTGGACTTTGGAGGAAGATTTGACAGAAATCTGATGGTCAGGAAACGAGATTAAAACGTGTCAAAATTTCCAATTTGGTTAGAATTTTGTAATAGTACTTAAATTAGTACGATATCAGTTTTACTATAAATCTTTATTTTAGATTAATTATATGGAGGGATAAAGTCACTCGTTGAGTATATTTGTATAAAATATTTTGATTTATATTAAACGCCGATCTCACTAATAACTTGTAATATTTCGCTAAAAAGTGTGCTTGCACTTTATTCGGATACGAAGCTGTCATGTTTTTTTTGTCAAAACATACAAAAAGAGTTAATTACTATACAGTATATCACTTGATAGTTAGTACTATTTATCACGTGTTGTATCGAATGTTGATGACGTCAAATATTGCCCATATCGATCGATCGATGTTCTCCAATGTCTTTAATGTTTCAATAACGATTGTCGATTTCTAGCATTTCTAAACATTTTCATGTTCGCGCCTTCGTCAATTCCGATGTCCGACCTCCAAGGCGGTAATAATCTGCAGTCCTTTTCCAAAGACATTAAATTCTTCCGTTCAGCATGGTCATAAGTAGCAACTGTTCAAGTTTTTCTTGAGACATAGACGAACGTGTGCGGGTTTGATTGGAATTGCAACTGCGATCGCGTAAACTTTACAAAGAGTTGAAAATGCATCAACTAGGTGGTAATCAGGATTCAACAAAATTCTCAGAGCTAAAATAATAATGCTTCTAGAAGTGATGGTTTATCCTTGTCCTTTGGTTCTTCAGCAGTTCCGTCGTCGCTTGACTCGCTGTCGGTTTCTTCTTCGTGGTCTTCGGTTTCGGATTGAGAACCGGAGTCTAAATCAGAATCTTTCTCTTCTTCTTTGTCTTCGTCAAAAATCACTGAACACTTCAGAGATTCTGCAAAGTTGAGCAGTTCATCTGCACATCGGTGCGAGTCGATGTCAGTGGTACACCATCGGCATTTTAAGGCTTCCTTGCCTGGCTGCCAAAAGGGCGCTCGTTTTAGCATTATCTTATTACTTACATTACTCAATGAGTCATGATGTTTCTCGCGCAAACAACTAAATTGCGTACACAACTTTACATTATCATATAACTATCTAATTTGCGCCGCTCTCGTGATTCGTGAAGCATAATAAAGGCATAATATTAGGGCATAATACCAGAAAAAGGGGCATAATTCCCGTGATCGCTTCGAAACCTGACCAATATTCCGGTAATGGGACATTGCGTGTGATCACTGATCATGATCATGTTTCTATGTGAACGATTTCGTGTGAGGTAGCAATACTGGCTGGTTAGACAAAAAAGTCTGTATACAATTTAATATATCACTTTGTCGCCTATGTGCTCAGTCTGTTTATAAGCCTATAAACACATTTTTTCTTGGTCGAAGCGGTGACCATATTTTTTCAAATGCGTTTTTCCCACCCACTTTAAAATTCAGCGGAATCGGCGCCCCGTTTTCATTTCTGCGCCCCCCCAAGAATTGCCAGTTGGGGGCCCCCCCTTTCTGCCAGCACGCCACTGAAACACCGTCTAGATAGAAAGCAATAACCTCGTGGAAAAACATGGGCTCATTCTGTAAAATTTGCTTACATTCCCTTGCAAATTTTAGACGTTTACCGCGGTCCGTTCGGCTCACTAATTCCTTTTTTCGCGCTTGAAGGTACTGAAATCCTTCACGGCGCAGTTCTCGATAAAATGTTCTGTACGAAATGCCTGACAAATGAAGTCCACTGTAGGCGACCAGTGATTTAATTGAAAAGCCAGGATTAATTTCCTGTAACTTAAACAATGATCTAAGTAAATGGCGTCTATCTCGAGGTGACAATTTTTTGGGCCTTCCTCGTTTTTCCTTGGATATTGATTGCTTTTTGCTGTTACTTAAACTACGGCACGCAGTTGATTTCGAAACACCGGCCTTTTCAGAAATTTTTCGAAAGGAATACTTTTTCTTTGCACCAAGAGAAATAACATATGCACGCATTTGATCAGTAATATTGCCATGATAAACCATTTTTATTGAATTAATCAGCTTGCATTGACTTACTATACCTGCAAGAGTGCGCGGATGCAATTTATAGACTCATGACGTGTTGTTATGCAATATGCCTTTATCAGATATATCCACATCATCAAGGATAGGCTTAATGCAATTGTTTTCAAGTACTTGTGGGGCTGAGTAACATTAGTGTAATTCCGAGTCACTGCGAAAGAAACGTAAAATGTTATCAATCGCAACTATATTTCTCCATCATGATGTAATATCTTATTAATATAACCATTGCGTAAATTTATGTAAATTTCCTAACCTTAAAAACAATCGTTTTAAATATAGCAATGACGCTGAAAAAACAACATTTATTCACATATAACAAAATGCTGATAGGCAATGAATAAATTACCCAAACTAACTGCCTGTTTAACTCAAAAATCATAAAGTAACCTTAACTTGCATTGAAGTTTAGTAGCGACGCATTTACAGACAATCTTTGCCAGAAACTATGGGACAAATAGTGAAACGTCTTAACACCGCAACTGTTCAGTTTCCCCCGTGCCGCCTGTTCAATGTTGCTGTCATAAAAAAATAATATATCACAAACGAGACGTCTTCTGGCATAGGCGCAACATTGAAACGGTGGGGGGAGGGAGGGGGAATAGATATCTGCATAAAATGCGTATTGTCTATATAACTTTCTTAAAACTAAATTGTCCCATAGTATAATGGCAAAGATTGTAGATGCTATACTTCAAAATAAGGTTTTCGTTTTTATAACGTAAAAAAATATCCTAATGCAAAAC